TTCACAAGTAAATTTATAATCCATTTCATTAAAAAATATCTCATCATTTTTAGAAGTATTCCTTTAAAAAAATAGGATTAAAAAATATTTTAATATAATATAATATAATAAAATATAAATAAAATAATTTACATACATTATATTAGAAGAGTTATTTTCTTTTATGCTTTTTTCTAAATTATCAGAATTATCTGAATTATCTGAACTTTCTGTATTATCAAAAATTATTTTTTGATTTTTTAATATATTATGTCGTCAAAATGTTCTTAAAGATACATTAAATCCTTTTCCATCTCCTGTTTTAGCACTTTTTTTTTTACATTTACTACAATCACAATATACCATTTTTATAAATTTTTTTTATAGAAGTATTAGTAAAAGTTAAACGAAAGAAATTAAATAAACTAAATGTATAAATTAATTAATATGGTAATTATTAGATCAAATCTAATAAAATAAATGATTTGATAAAATGGCCGATCACCCAAATAGACATTAAAAGTTTAAAATAATTATACTGTTAAAGTTTAAATTAATCCAAAAATAGTAAAAATTAATTTATAAGATTTTAAAAGATAAATATGAAAAATTGAAATGTAAAATATAAAAATGTAAAATATATATTTATTATTTAAAATAAAATCTTTTATAACGAAGTTTAACAATTTCTCCAGTAAAATCTAATTTTTTGTCACTTTCATATTTACATTCATTTTCACTTTTGATGCTATTATTACTATTTGATATAAAAAGGTTGCTACTGCTAGTATTAATTTTATTGGTAAGAAAAGTGCTATTAATATTTTTATCTGTTGAAAAGATACTGCTGATAGTGTTATCTATAGAAAAAATAGAACTATTGGTAAAAGAAATGCTATTACAAGTATTTATATTATTATTTGCATTGTTTTTTTTTTCAGCTGCAAGAAAATTTTGTAATATTTCAGGTTTCTGTTTAAGTTAATTTAAACAATATTGCTTATGAAATTTAATTTCTCTGCCTTCTTTCCATTTTTTTACTGCTGTTACTGTTTTTTTAAAGATGTTTTGTGATATACCAACTTGAAAAGCATCTGGAGGGATTATTGTTGTACCATGTTCTTCATGTTCTGGAAAACAAAATAATGTATTTTCAGATATTTCAATAATAATTCCATATTTCAATAAAAAAAACTGCCACCTTCAAAATTACCAGGTATATAAATTGAAGAATCAGTTAAAATAGAAGAGAAAGAGGAAAAACTGCTGCTAGTACTATTGCTAGTATTGTTATTGCTGCTAATACTGCTACTAATATTATTATTATTTTGAAGTAAACCTCTACCACAAATACAAGCCCAAGCATATTTCAAAAAATTTTTATCTATATATACATGCTTAGTATAATTAATTGTAATATAAGCTTCACATAAGCCTAACTGGTAAGGTAGTTCAATTTCTGTATTTTTGTAATTTATTTTAAATCCACACTTTTTTCTTCATTACCACACATATTTCCATCTAAACGAAGTAGATCATGAGTACTCAGAAAATGTTCAATTTCACTAACTACATCAACAGGAAAATACTTTAAGTATAATTATATAAAAAGGGCACACTAGCTACAATTTTTGCTTAATTTTCTATGTGTTCAGGTGTATTCCTTAATTTTTCACCTATATTACGAACATGGGTAAAAATGCCACATTGTCAGATACAAAGATAGCCAGCTGCAAATAAAGGTCTTTGCTGAAGTGCTGCTATCTGATAATCACGATAAACTTTTCACCTAATCTTAGAAGTTTCTATTGCTGTTTCATACATATATTTTAGAACTTCTTTACCAACATGATTTCTTAATATTACAACTATCAATTGGTTCATTTCTGAATCTCTAATTATAACTTCTTGATCTTTTTTAATACAATTTGGTAGAAGATCCGCTACTTTTTTAATATTTATCGAATTTGGTAAAGTAAATTCAATATTTTCTTCATATAGCTAAGTACGTTTTGAAGATTCATAACCTTGAACATAATCTTTCAATGGTGAAAGATAAATTGTAAAAATTTCAGAAGAACTAAGTTATCGAGATATTGTAAAATAACTATTTCTAGCCTTAGAAGAAAAATATATAAAAAAGAGAAGTATTACTAATTAATTTTTAAATATTAAAATATTTTTAGCTGAAAATTTTTATAAAAATCAAACTTACAATATCTTTTTTACAATATCTTATTTTATTTTTTGTTTTCTTAATATCTTCATAAATATTTAAATGCAAAATTTCTGTCGCTTGTTTTGCCAAATAAAGGAAAACTGATTCTATAACTTTTCCTTTAAAAATTAAATTTACTATATTAAAAATAATTGCTTGTAAAAAACATAACTTAAAAAAAGAATAATATATACTGGTTCAATTAAGATTTCTTCATGACTGTTTTCAACAGTTAACTTATATTCTTGAACCAAGGAAACTATATTTCTTATTGAAAAAGTTAAAAATTGCTGATATTTAACAGGATTGGTATCTTTAACTTTAACAATATATGTTACCAGTAAAAAAAAAGAAACTAAATATAAAAGAAAAAAATTAAATTTTAACCTTTTTTTATGCAAATTTATTTTAAAAACTAGACCTTAAGTAATTGTATTCTTTCAAGAAACTTTAATAATATAAAGAATGCTATCTCTGGTTTTAGTACTACTAGCCCCGCCTAAGAGTAGTCTATATTTTGTTAAATTTCTTTAATATCGAATATTATCTCAGGTCTCAATGCTTTTTTACTCATTAATTTATATATTAAACTTTAAAATATTAGTGTATTACCTGTTTTTTTTTAATTTTCTTTTTTTTTGTATTTTTCATTTCTCGTAAGTATATTTTAATCTATATTAAAAAATTCATGCTTCTAAAACTGTTATATTACATAAAATTTAAACTGTAAATTTTTTTAATAAAAAACTTACTTAGAACTGCAACAACTTTTTATATATACACTCCTTATATATTTAAATCTATATTAAAAAAATTCATGTTTTTAAAATATTATATTACTTGAAAATTAAATTAAAATTTTTTTAATAGAAACTTGAAATAAAAAAAGTAAAATTTTAATTATTGCAATACTTTAAAAAAAATATACCAGAAATAATCATTACAGTATTGTAAACGGATCTACAAAGTGATCTGCAAAATCGATCTACAAAAGGGATTTGCAGAATTGATCAACAGAATGA